GATGAAAATATTCCCCCAGGAAATGGGACACCTCTACTACACACACACATCATCATATATCATCACTAGCTTATATGTCATATGAGATGTGATGATGTCATCTGCAATACACTCATCAGTCCGGAAGGCACAAGTATAGTGACGTCTAACAGATTACTAGCTCCCAAATTTGGTTTGCACTAAAGAAACAGAACATACGACTGGTGGATCCTGATGCAATGCGCACACAACTGTACTGTCTATTTACAGTGCTCAAATTTATATATATAGCCATAAGACCAGAGCATTCAGGTTATTCCAGAGTAGAATAGGGTACATCTAGGTCATTCCCATGTCGTTTTGCAATTTTTTAAATCCTTGAAACCTCCATAAACAAGTAAACACACAAACACACGCACTAGCATTTGATTTTATTGACATCTTGTGCAAGCGTACTAATGAACTCCTACTGAAACAATTGAAAATCTTTCAAAAACCAGATCTATTCTCTGACCTAAAAGCTTTTGTAATATGTGCTGCATGGATCACATTATTTCTAAAGTGCTACATACTCATTACACAAAAGAAAGCCCATGGCATTTTCTGAAAGATCTATTTCTGATGACAGAATTTTCATTTTTAGGTGAAATACTCCTTTTAACGGGACCTGAGGTTGAAATTGTAATCTCTGTGGGGGAAAAAAAGCAATTTTCAACTGAGTTAGCGTTCTGTCCCTGCACCGAGAGGCAGAGCGGAAGACAATTAAAATGACAAAATGAAGAATAAACAGATGCTCCCGGTGCTTTGGAAACAAACACCCGAGCATTCGTCTTGTCCATTCGAAGCAGACGGGGACAGTGAAATAGGTGTCTCCTCTGAAGGAGAGTCGATACTAAACCCTTTCACCAGCTTTTTACCCGCGTCTTAATAGTGTCGTCTGGAAATAATCACCACCTCAGAATCTGCCCTTGACATGTGCTTTTGCTCTGAATAGCAGAGAAAGTGTCCTCTTAAAGACACAAGAATGCAAAGTTATTCAAATACACACACTCTATATGCGATTTATACATCCTATCCTACACTGTGCCACTCGATTTCGCACAAATTGCTGGCTCGAATCTTACCGGGAGCCTGTTGTGCTGGAAACTGAGGACGAGTTGTGGGTGTCAGCAATAAAAGAGGTTTAG